CAGGGCCCTCACCGCCTCCACCTTGGGCTCCGCGCCCTTCTCCATGAGGCTCTTCAGCCGGCGCTCGTAGGCCGTGTCGGGCAGCTTGCCCACCCAGTCCCTCAGGAGCGTGGACTTGCGCCCCCCGAAGATGGAGTCCTGCAGCGTGGAGTCCGTCATGCTCTGGTGGTGGAAGGACATCATGCGCGGGGTGGACTCCGTGGCGGCCGAGTCCTTCATCTCCAGCTCTGAAACCGGGCGCCGGGCACGGAGTCAGGTCCCAGACGGGGACGGGGCAGGGGAGCCGGAGCGGGAGGGGCGCCCTGACGGCCCCCCTCCTTCTCTCCCCTCTTTCCTTTATCACGCCCCCCCACCCCGAGAGTGCTCCCTAGCGGGGACATCAGCCGAGGAGAGTCAAGGAAGGACAACTGAGCTGGGGTTTGGAGGGACAGATAGACACAAAGGGGGGAGGAGGGGCAGGTGAGGGCGGGAGGAATAGCACGCGTGCACAATGTCAAAAAGTAGAAACACATGAACTGGTGTCTGATGTCGCCCAAATGAGGGATTTGCACTGAATGAAATAGTGTTGGGTTAGGGCTTGGAGACCATATGCATGTGCGTGTGTGTGTGTATGTGTATATATGTGTGTGTTTGTATGTATATATGTATGCATGTGCGTGTATGCATGTATGCACGTGTGTATGCACGTGTATATGTGTATGTGTGTATGCACGTGTGTGTGCACGTGTATATGCATGCATGTGTGTATGTGTGTATGTGTGTATATATGTTTGCATGTACATATGTATGTGTGTATGTGTATGCATGTGTGTGTGTGTGTCTGTATCTGTTGTTCAATTTGCTCCTAAATATCTTACAGATTTTTTTACTTAGGGGATGGAATAGTTTCTTCCCATTTCCATTTCTAACTGGTGTGACTAATAGAGAAAAAAGACTGTTCTTTTTTAAAATATATATTTTTTCTACTCCACCAACAAGCACACCGACTTTTGTTAGTTTTCCACTAGACTTTCTTGAGGTCGGCCGCGATGCGATCACATCAGGGGGAAATGGAAAGATCTTCCTTCCACTATTTTATAGACGTTGGACCCTCGCTCCCAAACGGTGTCAACAATGACAGCAGCACCTGGCCTGCGTGGCTCAGGGGTTGTGTCTCGACCTAGGAACCAGGAGGTCAAGTTCAATTCCCGGTCAGGGCACAGGCCCGGATTATGGGCTCGATCCCCAGGAAGGGGCCTGCAGGACGCAGCCGATCCATGATTCTCTCTCATCATAGATGTTTCTCTCTCTCCCTCTCCTTCCTCTCTGACATCAATAAAAAGATATTTTAAAAAAGAATGACACGGCGGCAGTCACGCTGCCTTTCGAGAGGAAGGGAGAGGGATAGAGAGTTAGAAACATGGATGAGAGAGAAACATCGATCAGCTGCCTCCTGCACACCTCCTACTGGGGATGTGCCCGCAACCAAGGTACCTGCCCTTGACCAGAATCGACCCTGGGCCCCTTCAGTCCGCAGGCCGGTGCTCTATCCACTGAGCCACACCAGTCAGGGCTGCATTTCTTATTCCTTTGCGTGTCCTTCCTGGTCCCCAGTGTCCCTGTGCTGCCTGGGTTCAGTGTGTGCCTAGGATTTTATTTTAAACCAGTTCTCTCCCCACTTGGCACCTCAGCGCTCCTCTATTTTTATATGATTTCATTGTATTTTTTTTAATCCTCACCCGAGGATATGTTTCCCATTGATTTTTTAGAGAGAGAAAAAGGGAGGGAGGAGGACGGAGGTGGATGGGGGAACAGGGGTGGGTGGGGGGAGAGAAGAGCATGGATGTCAGAGAGACACAACAGCTGACTACCCCCGCCCGTGC